CAGCAGGACTAGGGCAGTGATCGTCCCCCTGATCTTGATATAGTGCCCTCCAGAGCCACATGATGGGCAGCAGCTCAGACAGCTGAACACCCAGCCATGTACTGACACCACTGCAAGTAAGCTAAATCATGTAGGGGCTGCACAAAGTCATCCTACAGGTCAAACCAAGCTTGTCCAGTTGGACAGCCCTGATTTGGAATATAATTACCAAGACCTGCACTGAAAGTAATTCACTCATTCCTGATTAAATGTACCCAACTTAGAACTGATCCTTCTGCAGACATTGTAGGACTTGTGCTTAAAGAATCCTACGGAATTTGTAATATATTCTACGTTTCTAACTGCGCATAAGGAAACCTGTTGAGGCAAACTTTCCCACTTGCCTTTCACTACCCCTCCTTAATTACTTTTCTTTCTGCTCTCTCCCTCTTTTTTTTTTTTTAATAGCATCTGCAATAACAACACTACTTGAGTGTCCTTTCACTTCCTTGAAAGTTGTGATAGGATGTCAAAAATTACACAATCCAAGCCTAGAGTCTGAATTTCACCTTCTCTTCTCCCAGGGAGTCAGGGAAAACCAGCGGTTCCTAACAGGTCAACACATAGGTAAATAATTACCTATAATTACACCATGGTTTATGGAAGGAGATAAGCACTCTAAGAAAGTTAATAGTATCATTTCGTAAAGTAGCAGAAGATGCTGCAAAAATCAGCCTGTCACCCCAGCAGTGGCTAGCAAAAAAGGACTGCAATTATCATTATAATCTCATGTGACATGAGGATCCTCTAAGACCTGAACTCATGCTGTTTATCAGGCTTATGTTCAAAGCTGGATCTTTTGTATTGCTCTTTCCTTAGCTGACTTGCTATGCTTGAAAGTTACGCACAAGACATGGACACTGTAATAAAGTCTGTGAATAATAAATATGAATGGCATTCAGGGGAAGTACAGTCTTTTGAGAACATAACTTTAAAGAAACATCTAGAAATTAAGTCAAAAATGGTATTACCGCCATCTGCAAATCCTGTTGCGGTGATGATGGGCACAGCGACCATAATCATACCACAGCTACTCCAGACATACTTCATCAGGAACTGCTCTATCATGATGTACCATAAACGTTTGGACAAAATGAGATTCATTTGATCTGCCAAAGCCTTGTAGCTTTTTTGCAGTTGTTTCATTTCTATCTGCAGGTAAAAAATAAAACATTTATACAATGCAACAAAGATGCACACGTCATACAAGATCACATACGTGCATAAAATAACCGGGTACTGTGACTTCTGAGTCACATCTGCTGCGTTGTACTTTATTTCCACAGTGCTGCAGTCTCACAGCAAAAGTGCACAGCTTTATGGAAGTCAGTGGACTTGGTTCTTATTTACACTATTGTCCCTTGATAACACTTTGGCAGGTTTTCAGCTTTTTTAAGATCTCTGATATATACAAGAACAAGATACCAGGCAGTCACAACAGCTGATTCTAACAACCAAAATAAAATTGATTCCATATCCTTTTAATGAAGTTGCAGCTGTAGAGTTTCACAGCAACTGAAATTCCTCATATTGGGAAGTGTTTGGGGATCAATTATCTTCAATGACTTAAAGTTGCAGAGCTGATCCCCAAACTGCAATGCTGCTTGTTTTTACAAGAAGTCTGGAGGAAGAGAGAACTATCCCAAGAGGTTTAACAAGTCAAAGACAGTTGCAAGGCAATATGATACAATGCATTCAGTTCAAGCCAGTATATGTGGGAATTGAAAAAATGTTTAATTCAGCTGTACTTAAAACATTGCTATAGGCATCTTTTGAGAATAATTGCTTCTACCAAAATAAACCATTTACATTATATAATCATTGATTGGACTGAAGGAGTAATACTTCAGGCTGGTTTCCAGCTTTCATTTTCACTTTACATGAAACAACTTTTTTTTCCATATTGTGTTTGAGAGGTGTTACAGCCAAAATTCACTTCTAATAAAAATATGAAGAGTTCCTTGATAAGGTGGCTTTAAAACAAGCCTTTAGTTTATGTAACTGTGACTGCTGAAGTACTGTACTTAAGCTATTTTAAGACTCTGATGACTACATCTTTGCTTAGCTATGTAAAAGAGTGTCAAAGGTTGTAGTGCTCTCTGTGCTATCACAGTTTTCCCCTAGACTCTCTGGTGTGCCTGGTTGCTGTTTCTGCAGCATTAAATCTGGTAGTTCATAAACATGGGTGAAAAAAAAAAAAAGCATGGAAAAGTTAAATGGAATGAACTGGTTGGGGAAAAAACAAGAACGGAGATTAGCTTTCTAGAAAAGCATAGGATCCACTGCAAACAGGAACATTGTTAGAGCACAAGGGAACTACGGTCCGCTCCCCCAGATACCACCCCTGAGACGGCATTTTCCTAGGAAACGGGAAGTGCTAGCCATAAACAGGTTTAAATGTCAGAGGGACCCAAAGTGCTCAGGGAGGGCAGCAGGGGAAGCGCAGGTCAGCTCTGGCACTGCAGGGGCAACCCCAACACCCTCCAAGTTCTCTCCTCCTTACCTTGTGCCCTCGGTAAAAGGCGATTTCCTCCACATTGGCAATGATGCGCGAATGCATGAAGCGCAGATAGCCCTTCTTGTGCGCCTCCTCAGCCACCAGCTTGCCAAACTTGGGCGAGCAGGCTTTGAGCACACGGGCCGTAGCGTAGACGACGAGCCCAGCCAGGAGCGTGGGCCCAATGGGGTTAGCACCCCGGGACCGTGCTGTGCGGATGAGGGTGTAGGAGGTGAGTACAACATCCAGGATGGGCTTGGTGAGGTTGGAGTAGAGATGCGCCACGGACTGCGAGAACATCATGATGTCCTCAGTGAGGGACTGGTCAGGGTTGGCCAGCCGCCCATCCATGCTGATCACTCTGTAGTAAGTCTGGTTGGCAAAGTAGGTCTCATAGGCGTGATCCACCAGGCGCGTGCGGAAGGCGAGGGCCAGCTTGCACTCCAGGTACCGTATGGTGCTGTTCACGAAAGTGGCCGGGATTGCAATCATCAGCCATTTGATTAATTTGAAGACAAAGCTCCTGGGCTTTTTTTCCACGATGCTTTTCACAATCTTCCCATCGAGGGCGGCCACATAGATGGAGAGGAAGGTCCTGGAAACCAGAGCGACCGAGTGGAGGCAGAGCAAGCCCAGCTCGGCGCTCACCAGCTTTGGGAAGAACAGCTTGCGAAGTTCCAGCAGCTGCTTGAAAAATTCCGCGTTGACCGCCGGAGAGGCTCTGCCCCGGCTGCC